ACGAATCAAAACAAAAATCGTGTTACATACTGAGATATTTTGGCATAAAGCTGAATCACTGTGCATTGTGGCGTCCCTTACCCGTGCCAGGATCCGCAAGTTTTTGTTTTAAAAAAGATCACTCAAATTAACATTCCTGGTTTCGGGGTGAGGGGATGGGGAAGAGTTCCATAAGTTGACACGCCCTAAGGATGCTATTTTCAAAGCAGCAACATTTACTGTTATGTCGTGTGATAAACGAACAAAAGAACTGAGTATATTATCTACGTAAACCACACATGCTGTGTCTTGCAACGTGACTCATGATGACACGATGAAGCGTGTATTTCGTGTCCATGTATCGGTTAGAGCTTAAGGACCCGTGAAGGTCCGGGTTAGAATTGGTCTTCAGTAACCCATGCTTGTCGTAAGAGGCAACTAACGGGATCGGGTGGTCAGGCTCGCTGGCTTGGTTGACACATGTCATCGGTTCCCAATTGCGCAGGTCGATGCTCATGCTGTTGATCACTGGATAGTCAGGTCCAGATTATTTACAGACCGCCGCTATACAACTGCAATATTGCTCAGTGCGGCCTAACGACAAACAAACAGGAGCATGAGGACTGGACCCGCTTGCTACAAAACGATCTCAGCTCTACGATGACCGTAGCTCACATACTCTGATATAGACTTGAGATAGTCGTAGCGCTAAGATAGCTTTGCGCAAGCGGGACCTGGTGTCAAATCCGAGTTAAAGATTCGAAAGCGCGGAGCGGGGATGCCTTGGACTTAAATAACCATTTCAATGATTGCATGCCAGTTTCAAACTCTCTTACGTGTCAGCTTTCAAAGAATGGTGTATTCCCACAGTGGCCGCTCTGTAGATTACAAAATCGTTAATTACGGTGTCCACTCCGGGGCAGACTCCGGAGCACGGTGGCCACACCCGGACAGATTAATCTCATAAAACTAGGTACTTGAAATTAATCGAATAAAATCCAAAGAATCCAAAGTGATGCACGTGAAACATGGCTCTTGTGTCATGGCACGTGAATCTCGTTCTTCGGCGATTGGCGAGTGTACACATCGGGGCAAATATATACAAAATTAGTGTTAGACTATTTCAAGCACATTTATCAATCACATGAATGTTATTTGCCGATATTGATGGGCCTGTTATGAGCAATCATAGCCCGGATCAAGAAAATAGTAAATTTAACAAACGCGGTAAAAGTTCCTCCCGTTCCCCCATCCCCCAAAAATATTTATGAATTAATATATACTAAAATCATTAACAAAACCTAACACAACAATTACTAGAGAACTCACAAAATAATTAAAAGCCCCAAAATTAATTACTATATATAGGGTCGAACCTCGCTGCGTTACCTCTGTTAATCTGTGTGGAGGAACGGAAGGAGCTCTTTCCACAAAAGCTACCAAATCAAGAGTGCGTTTAATGTACAAAAGAAAATACTGATTAAATGACAAATATACCTGTTCATAAAGTAAGTACTGGTCCTTACGTTGGTTAAGTTGCCAGTCTTAGTTCCACATGACTGTCAGTATATGTGGAAGGAGACTGCATCCGTTGACCCTCACAGTTTTGGTTGACGTTGGCGACACGTGTTTTTCGTGAATTTGTTCATAAAGCACGTTCAACAATGAGTTGAACGGTGATGGGTTGTTGATGATGATTTTGAGATTTTACGGGCGCTTCCAAACAGGCAGATTCCGCATGTGATGTCTAAAACCCTTCTATAATGTTACACAAAAGCACCTAAAATTATAAACCGTGGATATTTTCAGTTATGTTGAAATTAACAGGGACTGACACGATGCTGACAGACCAAGAGTCATAACCTGACGATCTGCTTCATTTGGGATTGTGTCAGTAAAGGGTCACAACTCTTCATGCACCCGTACCAAAATGTTTCTATAATTTACAAGGAAGACTTAAAACTCCGAGATGTTGCAAAGAAGTCATTAAGTACATAGTTGATCCACGACGAGGATGTGCAACGAAAGTTTCATCAGGGTGTATGCACGGGATGGTCCACGGGAGGTCACGAGACATCCGGTATATGTACTTATAAAGTGGGTCTGAGTAGATATTTTTGAAAAATATCATCACGAACTTTATGAAATAACGTTAAGACGAGCGTCCATTTGGCTTTAAATATAGCGTCAAATTTACATTACATTTACATTCATTTAAGTCGTAGCCGACTATATCAGATGCAATCCCCTTTCCCATGGCGCCTTTTAATCCACTAAGCATGCATTAACACCGTGGGACTTTCTATTCAGTAATATATATTTTTAAAATATTCTCTTTTTTTGTTTGAATTTTTAGCATATCTTCCTGGTTCAGCAACCAGGACGTCAAGGAAAACTGAAATGTGTAAGATACACATCAGATCTAGTTTACGCTGTGCGCTGATCAACTTCTTTGTTAAACCCGTTGTCATCTTAGAACTTCACCAGGGGTTGCGACGCTCTCCTACTCCGCCGCTGTGCACCGCTGCATCATGGATTAAAAACTGCGCAACTCATTGCTGTATGTCATGCTTACCGAACATATCATCTCTCATGAACACTCTTTCTGAAAAACTAAAAAGTTCATAAATATATGCAGCGAGCTGTGTCAAAGTGAAATCTGAGGGAACATGTATTTTATGATGCTTACTTTAATTTGCCATTGTTCTCAGAAACAGATCTTTCTTTGCACGAGTTTCAAAAAATCGTTATGATTCCATCATATTACATTACGTTTTCTAGATGTATGCGTGAAATCGTTTGTTTTTATTCATGAAACACAAGCCACTTAAAATATTACCTTAATGACATTATGCAAATATTCTGAAAAGAGGGTTCCAGAATAAACTGATCGCCTCCCGAAATTGCCAATATGATTAACATATTAAATGTGTACCCGCGTTGGATTAGGCACGTATATCATCTGAGTAGGTACATCAAGTGGCTGGCAAAAGTATACACTCAAAAATTAGGTTTGACCAAAAAAATATACAAAAGCTAGCAAAGTGTTACTAGGCTGAAAACAGTCGCACTGTAAACTGAAGGCCCAAAACACAACATGATACCCGTATCAAATACACCGCCATCAAAAAAAACATTTATGTGTTTTATTTTTAGCATCCATTAAACTAGGCGTATATTTCTTTTTTGATCGTCAGTCTGTAAGACATTTCTCTTTTCATAACTTGGTTTACTAATTTCGTCTCTCAAAACCTTCCATCGGTTGTCGAAAATACAAAATTGCTCCTCAGTTATTCATCTAAATGTTATAAACATATAGGGCTCGTAAGATCAGAAATAAATCGAATTCTCTTCTTTCCCCTTCGACGTTTTTGTTATTAAATGTAACGAGGCTGTTATTTCTTATTGATCGTTATATTGTATGTATACCGTGTACACTAGAACAAAGCCCCACCATGAGTACCCATGAAGTTTTGAGTAATGAGTAAACAAGTCTTGAACTAAAATTCATACTTTTAAAACTCGTAAGCCAACTGGTTGAAACGTTCGCCCGTCACGCCGAAGGAACGGGTAGCATTCCCCACACGGGTACAATGTGTGAAGCCCATTTCTGGTGTCCCCCAACCCTGATGTAGCTGGAATATTGCTAAAAACGGCGTAAAACCATACTCACTCACGTAAGCCAACTTACATATGTTTAAATGCCTTCTTATGATTTTTGATTTAGCAGTGAGTAATATGGGCTTGGCTAGTGTGAATGCTGCCGGGAAGGGCGGGACGTTGTCGGATCAAGAGATCGTGATAGTCCGTATAAAAGGATTGAAGTAGACATACTGTTCCTTAAAGTGTACGTCATCTTGTCCTCGTGATCTCAACTTGCCCCAACTAAAGAACTAGACTAACACTTAGTCTCTGAATATATATAATTTTGAAAGAAACAAAAAATAAACAATTCCCTTTAAATTGAAACCCCAGTGAGGCGGGAGATAATCTGTGGAAATATAGACTTGCTTCAGGAAGAAAGGGCTGTGCAGAAGGGAAAATAATGTAGTTCAGGGACTGTGGGACAGACTACTAAAGAACGATCGTGTTGTGTTTGTGAGCAACACCCATCTCCGCTATACTGAATTCTACCCAGACAGGCCGCTATCCACCCTACTTCACATTCATATTTAGTCACTTATTACACGACGTTTAACGTGCAGACGGGTCAGTTTACTCACTCCACAAACCCAGAATCTTATGAAATATTTGTAATGACGTTAATGCATTGGCTGTGAGGTGCTCCATAGATTTCAAGTAGGGTATCAAATGGCTTTACCGCAGCAGTGACTCAGTTTTTATTGACACTATTCTTAAATAACACATCCAATGAACTGTTATGTACACCGTCAATATTGTCCTCGCCAAATGATTGCGTCACGTGAGATTTGACTCATTCGAATTCAGGCTGTACAGGCAATTAATGTACCTTATGAATTTAACTTCTAATCCATATATCTGACCCATCCTGTTTCGTGTCTAAATATTTTCGTACATTTCCTTTAAGCCATACACTCCTCTTTGACTACGTAGGTTACACAACATTCACTTTGTTCCTGAGTGCATGTTACATGTACACGCCTAATTATAAGAACACATTCAGTTCTGGTCGCAAAGGTCTTGGGATAATATTGATACTGCAACCCCGATCAACTAGAACGAAGGTTGGGTAAGTGGCCGATCAAACAACACACACAAAGGCTGATTTTAAGACGCGACAACACGCCCATGGGCAAACCCAATGTTTCTGTTAGTGTTTGAAACAGCTTGCCCCAATGCACCCTTGTCGAAACAAACATGTCAACAACAAACTGCCGCGGTTAACTCCGATATTCCATGGCCAACAAAACAATAAACTGCACGTTTTTACATCTGTCTGTAATTAGACTGCTCTGTGTTTTCAGTGCTTGAGGCGGCGTCACAAATTGCGGTGGTTGTTGCGCAATCGCTTATTGTTAATCGACATTGACAGCAGTGTCTTATAGACACCGGCGCCCAGTTCGGTTACTACATTAATCAGTTAGGGGTCTGGCGCAAGCTAGGCTATTGTTATGTCCACTATAGATTAGAAATAAGAAGAGTTGTTTAGAGATGACGAAAGCTCCGCGAAGACACGGAGCAGCGTTCCTGGTTAGCCCCGCCCTAGGAGTGTAGCGGGAAGGACAGCCTCACAATGCACGAGTAGTGTCGTCTGCTCGGAGCTCGGGTTCTGCTTGAGTTACCACACTACCTGACGACAAGCGCAGACGACACCGGGCAGCGGAGGAGGCCGGACTGTTTCGCAGGCTACTTCGCTCGTTGTTTCTTCCTCAAGGTCCATTCCGTCAATTCACATCACATGAAGAACTGAAGTGGCCATTTTCGTGAAAAAATCCCCTTTCGTTACAAAAGCACTACCAACAAAATGGATGTAGATTCATGGATTACAGTGACAATTTTAGTGGATTTAATAGCCCTCGTGTTCCAAATCGGGGCATATGCCTCCCCCATGTGGGCCTGGGCCAAGAAGGACACAAGATACAGAGGGGTTGCTCTATGGTACACCGTTGGCTGTGGACCACCATGCACCCCTATAAAGGACACCGAACTCAACGCAACATTAGGTAAGTCAACCACTGTCACTAGGCCTGTCGCAGCTCATTCATTAATAACATATCTGTGTGTGTTTTGAAAGGCCTTGATGAACGTGTTTTGTATCTGAAAAGAACTTCTATTCTAGGGAAACAACAGCCGCACATAAGTATGATCAATATCTGTTATTATGTTGAAACGGTCGAACAGCTTGTTGGATGGCATTGTACAGGTGGCCGCTCAATCACTCACACTGAAAGAGGCAATATTGCTGCCCATGCTGGCTTAGATGATTTCGTCCGTGTACATTCGGACGCAATGTTCATACACTGTCCATACCGACAGTGAAATGTGCATAATCCTCAGATATGGATCGGTAATATGTTGGGTCATGCTTTGATAACGATTCACATTTTCACCTGACACAAACCGCGATAAGCTGCGTTCGCTGCCTCCATCCCAAACAATTCACTGCATTAATGACTCCTGAATGGAGACTGCAGAAATCGCCCTTCACGCAACAGCTGTTCTATATTGATTTAGTTCTACTCATACATTCCATGTATTGTATATAGCCTTCATACAGTTATCATACACTGATTCGGGAATGATTCCGTGATTCTCTTCCCAAATGCGAATTCTCACGTTCTTGGAGACTTAACCAGTTCGCCTTTGATTTGAAACCACTGGAGCGTGAAGACAGAATGTTATGTAAATAAAGGTTTAGGTATTATATTATACATGTTTGTGCTGTAGCAGATATATTTGTGTAGACGTATATACGAGTGATTCTCGTGTTGTGAATATCCGCCACCAGTATAGGTCAACATGAACGTGCCTGGTATCTGATATTCTTCATAACCATGATGGGTCATACTGACCCATAAATGTTGTGATTGATTACCCATAAACATATGTTTATGATCTCGTCTACGTGTAGGAGATTGAAGTAGGCTTCCTCGCAGACTCTCGTGACCGTCCCAGTCCTCTGACATTGGCAGTTTGTCTTTTAATAAATGGACATTACGTTCCCATACATTATACATGTCGGTTGTCGGTTTTAGACATTACCATTGTGTGGTAATGAAATCTAAAAATTGCCCAATGGTAATGAAATCTAAAAATTGACCAATGGTAATGAAATCTAAAAATTGACCAATGGTAATGAAATCTAAAAATTGCCCATTGGTAATGAAATCTAAAAATTGACCAATGGTAATGAAATCTAAAAATTGACCAATGGTAATGAAATCTAAAAATTGACCAATTGAAAAGAACAAACTTACATTGAGTAAAACTCAGTAAACCGAGCGATTCAACTTGAAACCGAGCATGAATCTTATGTTTACAATGGGAAGGGATTAGCGTTCTGTTCAGAGTCCAGTTGTTTATGTACGAGTTGGTATGAGCCCGTTATAAAAGTACAAATGTCCGTGGGTACTGGTTGTCCAGTTCCTGTAATAACATATACCCACATGAAGGGCCCGGAATGCAACTTGCTCCTAGGGCACCTTTAACATTAACTCAACCTACTGGACCAGTTTGCAAGCTCAAACATTTTCGAATATAACACATTGTTTTATTCTTGTAGAACATAAACATATTTTTCAGATTTTCCACAATCATGATTTTAAAGTCAAATAATCGAGGTGTGAGATGCTGAAAAAGTTGTTCAAATGAGTGTGGCGTTTTTTTAAATGAACATTCAACCTGGAGGTTATTTTTCTTCGTTTTCGTTTTGTGTGTGTTTCACCTTTCTTTTCGGAGTGGCGGTGGGTGCGGGGTCTTAGAATTGGGTTGTTTCTGTTGTGAGCCAAGTCCTTTTACTGTAAATACTGAAAGCTGACATGCAGTGGCAAGGTGCATATACAGACACAGATTGTTTATTTCGAAGTCCACCTCATACATTGTACATTTAAAAACTAGTATATGAAATGAGCCATCCCTTATAGCATTATGAGAGACTATTTACAAATATAAAATTATACGAAATATAAAAAGGAATTTACATATATTAAACTAATGATAACGGTGAACGCGTCGTTCCTTTAAAATATCCGAGCAGGTCTTGGATGTTAATTTACATAAAATAGGACTAGACATTAAAAACGATAGCTTTTCCTCATCCGTAGATTTTATAAAATTACCATTTAAAACTATGCACTCATCCAACAGACATTTTGTAAAAGATTGATATAAAGAACAGTTTAAAAGTACATGCATTTCATATTCTACAACATTCAAACAGCTAAAACACACTCTCTCCCCAACACAGCGTCTATCGGGGTTTAGGCTGTTGAGTCTGGTGTAGATCTACGTATTCATCACAGTCCCCCATAGTTTCACTGGTGTAGGGGTCCAACCCATGTCTCCTTCCACCGCTGTGTTGGGGGTAGATTTCCGCACACCCATACAGAATTTCATAGCTCTGTTCTATACAATGACATAGCAAATGAGAAGATGGTACACTGGACAAGGAAGTATGTTTCAGGGTAGTAATCAGCGTCTCCGCGCTGACTTGGGATGTGTGAACAATGCAGCATACCTAAGAAGAAAAATAGTCTTTCTAAAGTTTCTCGAGGAGCTTCCACGTCAGACACTGACGTTGTACAGCAACACGGAAGTCCATGTATTTCGTGAATGTGAGTGTAGCTTGTATCGCTGTCGGGTATAGTAAATACTACACTCGGTCTCATTACATACGAATTATACGAAACGAGTGTCCTTCCTATGATATCTGACCATCGATATGGTATCGAGAGAAAGCGAGGTCAGATATCATAGGAAGGTCACGAGTTTCGTATAATTCGTATGTCACGATGCATGTCAGTTGTCATCTCCTCGTACAGCCTCCTACAGTAAACTACTCCGTAGCACCTCGTTTCTTGGTTTCCAGTTGCTTCATACGGCTAACATCACTGGTGGAAACATTGTTTTTCAACGGATATAATGTCTCAGTTCGACTCACAATTTAACAGCGACACAGCAACGTTCGCAATGTTTACATTCCCACAATTCATTTAAGTTGTAGAATGAATGAATTCACGTGTTTTTTGTGAATAAAAAAATAGTTATGTCAGAATGTGACCTAATTGATAGGTCATCGGTTATCCAATCAAATCGTTAGAATCTCAGGTCAAGTCGTTACGACACAGGTCAACGCGATACGACACTCGTGTGACGTACGAGATTAGTATGCAACTACCCATACGTTGACCTCTTGGGTAATAAAGTCCTGAACTGCCCCGTTATCTTCACGGTCAGGAGAACATCACCATTTATGTATCCAATGCTTATCGCAAGAACCGACTGAGGGATGTCGAGTGGTCAGGTTTAAACACAGGACTGATGGCGCGACATCTTGCGTGGTCACGCAGATCGGTTACTCGCGTAAATCGGTTATTCACGTAGATCGGTTACTCACGCAGATCGGTTACTCGCGTAAATCAGTTATTCACGCAGATCAGTTACTCACGCAGATCGGTTACTCACGTAAATCGGTTATTCACGCGTGGAGAAACTGGTTTTTCAGGTCCGGGCGAATGAGCTGGAATACAGGTGGCCATTCACTCACTCACTCTACTAAAATTTCATAGCTCAATATTTATCATTACAGACAAAACTCGTTCTCGAAAATAGGTTGCAGCTCGTATCTGTATTTGCAGAAATACTGCAAGGGTAGTTTCAGATATTAAGAGCCGTTCTGGGGAGGCTGTCGTGGCAACAACTCCTCGAATGTCTATAAGCCTGCCCACGGCTGCCACTGTTGGTGTATACGTACACACCTAATATTCGCATACCGTTTCTTTATGCCCGGTGAATGCAGTTATGTTATAAGACGACATACAGAGGAGTGGCGCCTTGATGAAAGAAATGTGACCTATTTAATATAGCTTGCAATAGCTGTGTAGGCATAGTGCCTGCTTTAGTCGATATAATGTATTCGTGTATGTAATCAGCTGGAGGTAAGAAGACTTGGACCAGTTGTGTTTGAACAAGCGTCATTTAGCAAGAGTACCACATACACAGGGAGGTAACTACTGTGCATTTCAGTCGTGTAGTTCGAGTCGGTTCGGAAAATGACAAAAATCATGTACATTATGGTTGGACGATCTGAGTGAGTGAGTTTAGTTTTACGCCGCTTTTAGCGACATTCCAGCAATACCACGGCGGGCGATACCAGAAATGGCCTTCACACATACTACCCATATAAAGAATCGAACCCGGGTCTTCCGCGTGACGCTTTAACCATAAGACTACACCAACCCCTCCAGACGATCTGAAGTACTGGAAGCGTTCAACACGACCCAAACCTTGAAGAACAGCTTGTATGCTCCCAAAATAATTATTGCATAAACAGACGTCATTATACACAGTTGCTAGGGACGAAAGCATTGCCGTTAAGATCATATCGTCTCGGGATGAAACGTAGGGCAGTGGATTGGTTCGTGCGCTTGCCACTAGACCAGAGTTCAATTACTGACGGGGCCATGGGGTAGCCCAGTGGTTAAAGCGTTGGCTCGTCACGCCTAAGATCCCGGGTTCGAATCCCCACAGGGGTACAATGTGTGAAGCCCATTTCTGGTGTCCCCCGCCGTGATGTTGCTGGAATATTGCTAAAAGCGGCGTAAAACCAAACTCAGTCAGTCAATTACTGACTGTTAATGATCACTATTGACACTGTTGTTACGCCGCGATTGCAAACGCCGGTTAGTTTACAATTTGATGTTTTATGATATTTGAAAACTGTTTTTACAAATTGTTCACAATCGACGTATATTGTAAAACTGCCGGGGCGGTGGGATAGCCTAGTGGTTAAAGTGTTCGGTCGTCACGCTGAAGACACGGTTCGATTGATTCCCCACATAGGTAGAATGTGTGAAGCCCATTTCTGGTTTCCCTCGCTGTGATGTTGCTGGAATATTGCTAAAAGCGGCGTAAAACCATACTCACTCACTGTAAAACTGTCTGGTTTGCCTAATGGTCGTCAATGTCCAGCAGTCCAATACCACCTGGCAATGACCCTTGCATC